AACAACATATTATAGCCTATGGCTCTAAAGACTTCATATAAAACATCAATGTTATGTCATAATATGTCAGATACCTCAACTGAATTTAAAATCATTGCAATGAATTCTCAGTTGGTATGATGTCAATAATAAGTAACAACTCCTCAAAACAACATCAAATGCAAAAATAGATGTAAATGATGCAAGATATAATACAATAAATGCTCTAATAGCATCGCTGTGTGGACCTTTATTGGGAGTTTTTTCTCTCTCTCTAAAACAGTGAATATATAGTTATATGACAGTTACATGTAATTACATTGTCTGCAAATGCATTCAACCCATAGAACGGAATGTAGTAATGTTATGGCAAATATGAAAAATTCATTATAGTGTTATATTTGGTCTCCAAATCGTAAGTATCGGTTTAGGGAATAGTGCATCTGACCCATATCTAAATAGTTCTGTCTTAAATCAGAAGATTTAAGATTCAGGCGCGAAAATAATTAATATCTATAGCGCATGAGCACAGAGAGATTTGAGAGTGCACAGGACACAGTTTGAGTGAGAGGAGAGACACGTTTTAAGTGCGGTTTTGTGCGAGAGCAAATGAAATCCGCACGCGCATTATATTAATGTGCTTTCGCACTACAATTATGCGCTCTTGACATTTGTCATTAAAATAACGCCATAGCAAAGAGGCCTATAAATCAGGGACCTGAGCCACATCTAGAGACTAGACTGGTAATCAACTGCTACAAACCACCCACAAAACAATCACAACAGTACAGAGCACTCCAGCAACAACCTTGCAACCAGCTTGAGTACTCTAGCAATGACCTAGAACATTCGACACCTTAGCAACGAGCCAGAGCACATTTTTCTAATGTTAATTAGAAAATCATATACCACTAATATACAACAATACCAACGTCTCTGGAAAGAGGTTGGGATAAGTGATATTTATGTTGATTGAGTGAGCAACTCATGGCAGTGACTTCTCCAATGGTTGTGTGGGTAACAATGCAGTGAGGAATCCATTTCAGCAGCCTTGAACTAGCGATGTGCATTTTTCCAAAACATTGTATTCAAATATTTGTGCTCATAAAATATGAATATTCAAAAATGTGTTTATTTAAAGGGGACGTGAACTAAGAAATCAAAATTCTCTTGATCCTTTGACATATAAGAGGTCATTGTACTATAACACATCCTGTAAGTTTCAGAACTCAAAACTTTCTCGTTAGTCTAAAAACAGCTTATATTGAAGGCAGTCAGCCAAAATTACAGCTTGTGGAATGTACCACTTAATGACATAATAGTGTGGCTAAACACCGCCTCCGCAGAAGATGATCAACGCCTGCTTCTACATCGCTGCCTGTTTAGCCACACCCACTGATTTGAGCACATGGTGTAAATAACGAGAGAGGCAAAGTGTTTTTATTTTTCGAATAATAATTACAGATCGAATATTCGACTATTTGTGCACATCCCTATACCCTGGACCTGAAGTGTTGTGGATGCTGCACCAAAGGTTCCTAAAATCTGGAACACGCAGATGAGACCCTGAAGTAGGTGCAGAAGCTCCTTAATCTGGGACATGCAGATGAAAGTACCTTAAAGGTTTGCTCAACTGAGCTTAGTCTTGTTTCAAATGCGTGTATGTCTTCTGCTTCTCAGCGCTAGGGATTTAGAACTTGGTCAGTCTGCTTTTTAGTGTTGTCATGATACTGTAATTTCTAACTTTGATACAATACCTTGAAAAATACTGATATTCGATACCATTTTTGATACAATGGGGAAAAACTGCCACAACATTAAGGGCATACAATTTTCAATTATTATTTAAAGATAAATCTTGGCTAGAACATGACAATGAGGTATATTTTTTTACATTAATGGCAATGTCTTGAGGTGGTAAAACACTGGAGAAACACTGATATAGTTCAAACATACAGTTAGAAAAGTGTCACTGAAGTTTTACAGATGCATTATTCATAGCTGTCATTGAGAATACTTATTTCTCTGAATAGAAGAAATATAGAAATATACTAACAACATAAACAATTTAATGGATGTGTTGTAATTTGCATCAGTTTTAAGGTTGCCAAACACAGTTAAGAATGGATTTGGATGTATTTTTGTGATCTGTCTTTTTTCACCTACTGCTGCTGCATCCAGAGGTCCTGAGGAATTTTTATGGCGGTCACAGGCCAAAAACATTGGTCTCTAGATGGGTGAAGGGCAGAAACTGCATGTGGACCAATGAGAAGTCTTGTCCTTCCTGGGATTAGTACCAGAGGTTTTCTTCTTGCCCTCAAAGAGGTGTCTGGCCATTGTCTTAGCATCTTTATCTGATGGCGTTGGACAGTTTGCTTATGTTGGTCCACCAAGATCCAATCAAAATGTAGCAAACCGTTGTCCACTGTTGTGGTCAAAGTGGGGCCCCACCATAAACTGGGCCCTGGAATGTGCTGTTCACCACTCACAACAGCCTAGCAACCATCCTAAAGATGCTAGCAGCCATCTAGCAACAGCCTAGTAACCAGCTGGAATAATCTTTTAAGAACCCAGAACTATCGAGCAACTATCTAGCGTGCATAATAAACACACAGAACACCCTAGCAACCAGCCAGAGCAGGCTACTGACCATCTAGCTACACCATAGCAAACAACAACAACACCCTAGCAACAGTGTGGAAACCACCTAATACAACCTTTAGCAACCATGCAGAACATGGTTGCACCAAATTAGCAATGCCATAGCGACCACAGAGAACACTCTAGCAACCAGCCTGAATAGCCTAGCAACACCATAGTAACAACTTGGCAATCATCCAGAAGATAGAAGCAACCATAGACTGTTGGCCATCCAGAAGATAGAAGCAACCATAGACTGTTGTAACACCATAGCGACTACTCGGGAGAGCCTAACAACAGTATAGAAACCTGCCACTCAGAATAACCTAGCAACCATGCAGAACATGGTAGCAACCACACAGCAACAACATAAACAAAACAGTGAAGAAGCCATCCGGAATACTCTAGTAACCACACCTTTCAACCTAGCAACCATGCAGAACATGATAGAAACCATATAACCCTAACCCTAACCCAAACATAACCAGAACAGCAGAAAACACCCAAGCAACCACCTAGATTAACCTAGCAACTATTTAGAACATGGTAGCAACCATATACTAACAACATAAACAAAACAGCAGAGAAACCACCCACAATACCCCAGTAACCACATAGAACAGCATAGCAACCATGCAAAACATGGTAGCAACCATATAGCAACACCATAAACAGAACAGTAGAAAATACCCTGGCAACCATGCAAAACATGGTAGCAATCATATAGCAACAACATAAACAGAACAGTGGAAAATACACTAGCAACCACCTAGAATAACCTAGCAATCATGCAGAATGTGGTGGCAACAACATAACAAACAGGACAACAGAGAATACCCTAGCAACCATGCAGAACATGGTACCAGCCACATAATAGCCTAGCAACACCATAGTAACAACTTGGCAATCATCCAGAAGATAGAAGCAACCATAGACTGTTGGCCATCCAGAAGATAGAAGCAACCATAGACTGTTGTAACACCATAGCGACTACTCGGGAGAGCCTAACAACAGTATAGAAACCTGCCACTCAGAATAACCTAGCAACCATGCAGAACATGGTAGCAACCACACAGCAACAACATAAACAAAACAGTGAAGAAGCCATCCGGAATACTCTAGTAACCACACCTTTCAACCTAGCAACCATGCAGAACATGGTAGAAACCATATAGCAACAACATAACCAGAACAGCAGAAAACACCCAAGCAACCACCTAGATTAACCTAGCAACTATTTAGAACATGGTAGCAACCATATACTAACAACATAAACAAAACAGCAGAGAAACCACCCACAATACCCCAGTAACCACATAGAACAGCATAGCAACCATGCAAAACATGGTAGCAACCATATAGCAACACCATAAACAGAACAGTAGAAAATACCCTGGCAACCATGCAAAACATGGTAGCAATCATATAGCAACAACATAAACAGAACAGTGGAAAATACACTAGCAACCACCTAGAATAACCTAGCAATCATGCAGAATGTGGTGGCAACAACATAACAAACAGGACAACAGAGAATACCCTAGCAACCATGCAGAACATGGTACCAGCCACATAGCAACAACATAAACAGAACAGCAGAAAATAACCTAGCAACTACCTAGATCAACCTAGTAACCATATAGCAGCAACATAACAAACAGAACAACAGAGAAACCACCCATAATACCCTAGCAACCACCTAGAGCAACCTAGCAACCATATAGTAACAACATAAACAGAACAGCAGAGAAACCACCCATAATACCCTTGTAACCACCTAGAACAACCTAGCAACCATATAGCAACAACATAAACAGAACAGCAGAAAATACCATAGCTACCATATAGCAGCAACATAACAAACAAAACAGAGAAACCACCCCGAATACCCTAGCAACCACCTAGAGCAACCTAGCACCCATTCAGAACATGGTAGCAACCATATAGCAACAACATAAACAGAACAGCAGAGAAACCACCCAGAATGCCCTAGCAACCACCTAAAGCAAATTGGCACCCATGCAGAACATGGTAGCAACGCCATAGCGACCAAACAGAACACCCTGGCAACCAGCCAAAACACCCTAGCAACTGTCGAGCAACACCACAGCCAAAAAAACCCTAGTAATGCCCTGCCAATCACTTTTGCACCATGACAGTGACTTCTTCTGCAGCAAATCAAACGCTCACATTTTCTTACTAGATAAATTATTAAAATAAAGTAGAAATAAAACTCCAGGTTACTTTATGAGGACATCACTAGATAACTGTGTAGAGACAGAGAGAGAGAGAGAGAGCAAGCATGATAGATGAAGTAGGGAGGTGCTGGAAGAGTGAACGAGAGATAAGAGAGAGAGAGAGAGAGCAGTGCCTGAGGAACACTCAGACAGAACAAATGAGCAGCCGTGGCTCGACTCCTGCCAGAGACACTGATATCGGCACGCCGGAGAGAGCTGCTTCACCAGGAGTCAGATTACAGCGCTCTGACACACGGCTGAGTACGGAGGTGTGAGAGCGAGACTGAGAGTTTCTCTGAAGTGGGATCTCTGTTCACACACAGAGAGAGGGACAGAAAACTAGCGAGGTGTTGTTGCAGTCCTCGTGGTCCCTGTTCCCACATGCACAGTTGAGATCATGGATTCACTCTTGACGGCAGCGGTGCACAGGGACGCCACAGATCTGGACGCATGATGACCATGGAGAGCATGTTTATGGGTAAGTTTGAAAGTCTGTGGTTTTGTTTTGTAGGCTCCCCGTCTGGCATTCGCAGCGGGGGTTTCTCGCAGGGACATCAGAGGAGCGCAGCTTGCGTGCCTCAACAGGCACCTGATTTGTTGCGGTGGAGTTTAGCAGGGCGTGAAATCGTGAGCTACAACAAAACTGAAGGGATTAGGAGATTTTAGGAAGCGTGTGGCTGTGTCTCAGCGTGTTGACTGGAAATGAAGCTTCCCGCTGAACGGATGATTCCTTTCCGAATGCGCGGAGGCACGGGAACAGAGCTCTCCACGGGAGATACAGCAGATCTGTTGCTCTGAGGTGAAGCCGATGCATTAGATGCAGGTTTTAGGGGCTTGAAAGCATGATAAAACAGTTTTAGAATTGCCAGAACAAGTACTGGGATTGTTAAATAACATGAACATGAACTTTTAAGACGCTAGGTTTACATTTGTATGAATTTAAAAGGCAAAGTTTGTATTTTTTTAGATGCTTTTTACCATTTGTTATCACCTTTCAACTTTTTTGCAGTCCTTAAAAATAATGCAATTATTATTTCTGTTTAAAATAGTTGTATATGAAGTATAGCATGTCACTCTGCTGCTTAACATGTCACACCATGTCTACACCAGACGCAGGTGGCGTCCCATGATGCACAACCACTAAATCGCTCACAAAGCCGTGTCCACTGGAAGTGACTGAAGCTCCTTTTGATGGAAACCTTCCATTTTTTTCTCTGTTTCTATTTTTGGTATTCTGTATTGCACAGCCATTTTTTCAGTGGTTCTTTATTTACAAATAGATTTTACTATGCATTTTTTTTTAATAACGTCTGAATGAAATCAAAGCTACCTTGACGTTTTTGGTCCCTGATGTGCAGCTTCGTAGTCAATGCAATTTGGTGCAACACCTATTGTGTCCAATGTATACACGGGTTCTGTTCCAAAACCCACTGAGCTGTCTACATAGGCAGCATTTTAAGGCATCAGAAATGCAAATGCAGTTCTAAAAGATTGCATCTTGATATTTGGCCAAATTCTACAGCAGCATTGCACGCATCCTGAATGTTGAATGACATCCCACAATGCATTGCAGTGAGCATGGTTATCGAGATGGGGTATGAAGCATATACAAATAATTAATTTGAAACCTAAGTGTTGATAAAAATTTTAAAATTTACTATTTTACCCTATATTTATTATTAATTAGAGTATTGCATTGTTTGCTTATTAATAACGTCTGAATGAAATCAAAGCTACCTTGACGTTTTTGGTCCCTGATGTGCAGCTTCGTAGTCAATGCAATTTGGTGCAACACCTATTGTGTCCAATGTAGACACGGGTTCTGTTCCAAAACCCACTGAGCTGTCTACATAGGCAGCATTTTAAGGCATCAGAAATGCAAATGCAGTTCTAAAAGATTGCATCTTGATATTTGGCCAAATTCTACAGCAGCATTGCACGCATCCTGAATGTTGAATGACATCCCACAATGCATTGCAGTGAGCATGGTTATCGAGATGGGGTATGAAGCATATACAAATAATTAATTTGAAACCTAAGTGTTGATAAAAATTTTAAAATTTACTATTTTACCCTATATTTATTATTAATTAGAGTATTGCATTGTTTGCTTAGTAACATGAACTGCCTTTTTTATTATTTTGTACTGTGCTCTGAGGTCGCCTTATAATGTTATCAAGATTTTTACACCAAAAACATAATTTAGAAATAATAAGCTATTTTCTGTCCTGTCCCCCTGCTCTGCACACGCTCTGCATCTCTCTCTCTCTCTTTTATTCAGCTCACTGTTCCACCTGTTCCAATTATACACTTATTTTCACATAGCTATGAGAAGCATTAAACATGGACGCGCGTGCAGTTGCCGTACTGTATTAAAGCTTTAATCAGGATAAAACCGTATATTAAAAGCTAACAGAAGCAGTAGCATTTACAAATAACAGCATATCTAAAAGTATGAGACAACAACAAACAAAAAACATAGGCCTACCATTAAAAGCCGTGCTTGCACAGGTTCCTCTTCAATAATATCCTCTGCTTCTCAATCGGGCTCAAACTGATAAGCGATATTAAAGACGCCGTTGTTTACAATACAACCGGAGCACATGCCGCTGAGGAGAGGGGCGGGACGTTTAGACGCGCACTAGAGGCGGTTTAGCCAATCACAACACACTGGGCTAGCTAACCAATCAGAGCCCATCGCCTATTTCTGAGGGTGGGGCTTCATAAAAACAGGAAAAGATCAGCCCGTTTCTCAGAGAAGGGACAGAGCGGTGTGGAATAAAGGTAAATTATGTGAAAAATAATGTGTTTTTTTTTTTTAACGAAGCATTAACACATGTTAGACTGCACCCCATAAACACAATCAAGCCTAGAAAAAGACCAGTGAACCACCCCTTTAAAAAAGGCATCTTGAGACCTTGCGTTATTTTTTCCCACTCCATTGCATTTTTTTAAAGCAAAAACAAAACAGTGCAGACATTTAGCATTCTCATATGCTGCAAACCTTCAGAGCAAGAATCTTTATTCATCCAGTGCAACTTGAGCAATCAACACGGGTGCCAATTGGGATCAAATCTGTCTTGGTTCTGGTACAAAAAGGTCAATAAACTGTCTTAAATAGACTTTGTTTACAATTGGAAATCTCAGAAATGGGCTGTTGCTTGCACAGGTTCCTCTTCAATAATATCCTCTGCTTCTCAATCGGGCTCAAACTGATAAGCGATATTAAAGACGCCGTTGTTTACAATACAACCGGAGCACATGCCGCTGAGGAGAGGGGCGGGACGTTTAGACGCGCACTAGAGGCGGTTTAGCCAATCACAACACACTGGGCTAGCTAACCAATCAGAGCCCATCGCCTATTTCTGAGGGTGGGGCTTCATAAAAACAGGAAAAGATCAGCCCGTTTCTCAGAGAAGGGACAGAGCGGTGTGGAATAAAGGTAAATTATGTGAAAAATAATGTGTTTTTTTTTTTTAACGAAGCATTAACACATGTTAGACTGCACCCCATAAACACAATCAAGCCTAGAAAAAGACCAGTGAACCACCCCTTTAAAAAATGCATCTTGAGACCTATTTTTTCCCACTCCATTGCATTTTTTTAAAGCAAAAACAAAACAGTGCAGACATTTAGCATTCTCATATGCTGCAAACCTTCAGAGCAAGAATCTTTATTCATCCAGTGCAACTTGAGCAATCAACACGGGTGCCAATTGGGATCAAATCTGTCTTGGTTCTGGTACAAAAAGGTCAATAAACTGTCTTAAATAGACTTTGTTTACAATTGGAAATCTCAGAAATGGGCTGTTGGACTCCTGTGGCTTTAGAGCAGTGTAGATCTTGTTGTGATGTGGGTGATGACAGCAGAGACTGCAGTGTGGTTAACCCAAGATATTTATTTATTTGGTTTATAACCTCCGATTGCAAAGCACATGGCTGGTGCTTCCTGACCAGTGCTAGTTAGGAGTTGATTGTGTATCAGGTTTGCATGCAGTTTATATATTTGTTTTTTTTTTCAATGAAATGAGGCTTATGATTCTTCACATACATGATGAATCATACTGAACCCAGTGCACATGATCACAACTGGCCCTTAGTGGAATGTGCAAAACAACTTAAGCTTTATGAACTCCATCTGTGGCATATAATATATTGATTCACCCCTCAGTTTGTCAAAACAAACAAAAATCTTGTTTACAGCGATGCACTTGCAATGGAAGTCTAAGATGTGAGGCATTCCAGAGGGATTCAAAGCAGAAACGTGTTGAAGCGTTGTGCATGTTTATTATTTGAGCTGTTTAGTTGTCTCAGTCATCCTTTTAGCACTGGGACTACTTGTCTAGATGAACGTCTGCTTATGCGTTATCGACATAATTCCTGTGGGTGGATTTTTCTGTTAATACCTGAAGCAGTGTCCAGTCTAATATTATGATTCTTAATTTGACAGAAGGATGTGCTGTAATGAAGTATCAGGTGGATTTTTTTTGTGTTATGTTAATCAGTTATCACTGTGGTGCACTTAATTTTTTGTTTTGTTTTCCCAGATGATTTTAAAGGGACAAAACATGTATGTTTGCATTGTAAACATTTGATTCACACAAAATTGACTTTTATGCTGTCTGCTTAAAGAATTATTTTGCTTAAAGTATTTTTACTGCTATTTATGAAAATCAACAAACATAAATTAAAAATATTGCATTAATAAATACAAATTTATTTATTTATTCTATAAAAATAATGCATCGCAATTTAATTATTATTATTATATCTATTTTATTTTATATTTTATATAAAAAGAATGCACAGCTGTTTTTCAATGGCAGTTATAATGGTGTAGTTATGACATCTAACAGCAGGGGCAAACTGTGAATACTAGCCAGCTAAACCTTGATTCCATAACATGATTGGAAATATTGACTAGTTTTGTTAAAACGTTCTGTTTTGTTAGTCTTGGTGCTTTATTTTTGATATTTGTGTATTTTATTGTTTATCCTTGTGCAATACCTCAGAGACTTCCTTTGTAAGTGCATTGCTGTAAATTATGCAAGATTTTAGCTTGTTTTCAAACTGAAGGACATGAAGTTGTTGTATTGTTCTAAACTGCTGCTATATATCATACACTCTTAGGATGTGTTCTGACTGACAGTCCAGCAGGAGAGACTCTCGGAGCTATGCAGTGTGTGCTTTGAGTGCAGGTGTGTGTGTTTTTTGTCAGAGATATAAAGGGACATGGAGAAAAAGCAGACTGGATCAAGTCTAGGAGAATCCTTGTGACGAGCAAACAGAGCAGATGTGATTAATTATTTACGTGCCATATTTGTCCTCCATTTTTTCTCTCAGTCTGCAGCGCTGCGAGTAGCGAGTGCTGTTTTAAGATGATGGGCACATCTGAACAGAGATATGGAGACGATGCTACAGGCAGTTTCTCTGACACACACACACACACACACACACACACACACTCTTCTCTCTCCTC